AGGGGGTTAGAGTGCCCAGAGTTCCCCAGATTCCCTGCTGCTCGACTAAGTGTCCCAGTACGCTTCCATCTGGCTGTGGGGTCCCTGTCCCTTTAAGACTTCCAAAAAGCACTCGCTTTACTTTGTCCCCGGGGTGCCAGCTGCAGGGACCGCTCACAGGTCTTACTGTCCTGTTTCCCTAGTATCCAGGACCCCACGCATGCACTGTGTCTGCGCTCTGGTACAGATGGCTAGGGCTGGGTATTTAGCAGTCCTGGGCTCCCTCTCCCTCCCCGCTCCGACTCCTCTCCTCCCGCCTGGAGCTGTGGTGTGGGGCGCTCAGGTCCTGCCGGGCTGGGGCTTGTATCTTACCCCCTTCGCGAGGCGCTGGGTTCTCGCAGGTGTGGATGTGGTCCTGTGTCTTCTGGTCTCTCTTTTAGGAAGAGTTTTCTTTGTTGTATTTTCAAAAATATATGTGGTTTTGGGAGGAGATTTCTGCTGCTCTACTCACGCTGCCATCTTGGCTCCACCCCCCATGTCTTTGAGTTTTTAGATGGTGACCATAAGTTTATTTTTTGAAAACATTTCAAGGGATGCGGGGGAGGCAGCTGCAACTGTAGGTAACCAGTCTGCAACTTCATAGCATTTAGGAGAAGCCTGATGTGCCACACTGCCTTGCTTTTTCTGGGTTTAAAATACTCTTAATGGCCCAAAAAGCAGAGAACCAAGGCTTGAAATTAGCATTCTATGTAAACAAGTTTGTTAAAAACATAAAGTTTAATTAGATCAAAATAATCCTAAACTTTTTAAGACTTGGCTGAGGTGACAGTAGCTTGTGAACACTCATGTTAATGTCCTGAGAAATGCAGGTTATAACATAGTGCTCTATATAGTCTGTAGTGTCTTTCACATACATGAAACCTTATAATCCTGATTGATTGTCTACTGCCCTTTATTCTGAGACAAAATACTGAGACAAAATGGGCTCAGAAAGATGAAGTAGTTTCCAGCATGGGGTGACTACTGTGAGGACGGCTGGGGCCCGAGTCTGGTTTTCCTAGCTGCTGTGTCCAGGGCCACTTCTCCCATACCCAGTGGCCTCTTAGGGGCTTTGCTAGGCTGGATTCCAGTTTTATTTTCATCTCCACACTGATGATACTTTGAGGCTTAACTGTTTTCCACTGGGATTTGTCATTATGTAGAGTCAACTCGAACAGTGTGAAAAGATCCAGATTTGGTCTTTAAAATTACACGTGCACAGGACTAAATATGGAGAATATTCATCAAAATGTTAGCAGCAGCTATCTTTGCAGGGCAGAATTACAAGGCAATTCTATGTTATGTATTGAATTTCTTTTACAGCGAGCACGCACTCCCTCAGAAAAGGGGAACAGAACAAAATGACTTCCCTCACCTCAATTGACATTGTTTATGTCGTCGGTGTTCCCATCTTCTGCAGGAAATGAAGAGCATTTCTTGTAGCCGTCCTTACCTGTCACCCTCACCAAGTTCTAAGCAGCTGGGCTGTTCAGGCAGAAGGGTGTTTTGAGAGGCTTCCTCCTCTACACCGAGTGGAGGGAAAGGCCAGAGGTGCTCTGGGAGCACAGCAGTCCTAGTGGTTTGAATTCAGGTGGGAGTTGAGGGAAAGAGTTATTTTCAAGAAACTGACATTTTAATCCTACTTTTTTCCCTCCAGCCTGAACTGCAATGAGTCAGTTTGCTGAAAACGGAAGTGTGACTTTGAAATGGACACAAGGAACACAGTCAGTAAGTTCTCAATGACTGTATGTTGGGATTTAACAGCCTGCACTGACTTTCAGGACTGTGGGTTTTGTTAAGTAAGGGACTTAGATCACAATTTCTGAAGGAAGCTGTGACCAACAGGCATTTTCAGAAATCTGTCAGTCAGTAACGTCTCAAATGTTTTCAGCATACCCAGTGGTCTCACAGCCCCCTGTCCACTAAATAGTACCTGCAGGAGGCTGCCAGCTCTGGTCACCTGCCTTCTTTCACTTTGAAGGTGTTTAATGCTTAGCCAGCATTTCATTTGCAGCGGCCTTGACCTCCCAAACCTCTCTTTGGTCTAGTTTTTTGCCTCATGAATGAATGATACTCCACACCCTCAAGTAGCGGGACCAAGGAAGGTTTAAGGGAGTCTCATCAGGCCATTCCATCTCTTTCCTTCCCGTAGATACTTGGGCATGGTCTCTCCAGAGGCCTGGGACACTCTGCAGAAGCGACCTCTTCCCATCCTGCGGCACTGTCCTTATCTCACAGCACCTACCAACCATCACGTGACTTAGTGAGGGAGGGCAAGCTAATAATACGTTTATCATCATCTATTAAGAACAAAGGAAAATGAAGAAACAAGACACTCTTTATTTTTAAAATGGAACATAGTAAAGAAAGCTGTCAATCTCCATCTGTCTCTGAAGTGCATGTGGTTTTACATATTAATTACCCTGGAAAGTTTCTGAACTCTGTTGAGTAGCAGATCTCCTTTCTTGATGGTTTCTTGGTACTGCCAGTTCTTGCTATCAGGTCTATAAATAAGTTCAAGAAAAAAAAATATGACTCACATAATGCCACTAACAGAAGTGACTGACCCTGGAAAGGCAGTGCTCCAGGGCACCCCTATTCTCACAGCATTACACATGAACCACAAGCATACCTGTTAGTTTCCACTATTTCATTTACTTTATCTATTTTGCAGTGTAGTCTCCCAGCAGCAATAAATCTGGAGAGTTCCCTAATGGACAGAAGAAAAAAAGCCTTCAGCATTAGCTTTGTAGAGAATTCTCAGAAAACTAGAAATTGAACTACATGATTCAATTGTCTTTCCAGATGCCCTCGGAATTCTGTATCCAGGGAAGGCTGCTGCGTCTGCCCCATTTCCCTCAGCTCACCCTGTAAGCACCAGGTATTTGAAAAACCCCTCACAATTGTTTTTAAGACAGAGTAGTGTTTCACGATAAGATCAGAAATGCAAAGATTAGATGTAACTCAAACACCTTTGGACATGTCACACCTGTACCTTCACATCAAGCATTAGCAGTGAGTGTTCCATCAGACAACTTTATCAATGAAAAGATGATGCTGTTTAACTAAAATATAGTTGCAATAGAATTATGTTAAATTTAAAGATTAATATTAGAGTCCTCCTAGTCAAGAAAAAAAATTCCTAGTAAAAACTAGGTTACCAGTTATTCTCCTAGACACTAAACTTCTCTAGCCTAGCACAAAGGACTATAAATCTTAAGAACCAACTGTCTAACAAACACAAGTAACAATTAATGGAAAAGGCTGGTTTAGAAAGGTGTTGAGGTAGCTCAGAAACCATATAAGAACAACTGATAGACTTAGTCATGTACAGAGAATTTATTTGTACATAGGAAAATACCACCAAAACCAAGTGTGGTAGGCTGATGACCAAGTATAAGAACTCATCATTTTCATTACTTAATACATCTGGTACTAAGATGAAATGAGAAAGCACTGTATGTTTTTAGTCAGAAATTGTGCTACGAGCTTTAAAGCCCAAGATATGTTATGAAGATTTCAGTCTATACTGTCAATATTTTTGATCCAATCAGTACAGAGTGGCATTAGGTAAAAATCTAATCAAGAAGATGAGCCTTGTTCTAAACTCACTTGTGTTTATTTTCCAGGTACTTAAAATAGTTGCCTCTCCAGAACCCCCTTACCTCTAAAGAAGAATCCTCACGTTCTGATTTAGGAACAAGCTACTGCGCAGCACACGGACTTCACTTAAAGAGGCGAAGTGTGACTCAAGGATGCCCTCTGCTAAGGGCCTGGTGCTCAGGTCCAGAGGCTGCCTGCTGGCACGTAAGCTACTGCTTCAGATCCTATGTGGTATCCTCTAACTTGCCTTTGCTGTGGAAAGCCCTGTGCTTCCATCACTTTCTATAAGAATCAAACAGCCATTTTTTGAGTACTTAGATCAAACACTGAACTATGGACCAAGACTAACCTGCACACAGCTTCTTCTCCGGTCACACTGCTTTAGAGCCTTGTGGTCGTCCCAGTTAACTGGTGTTTCTTCATGCCCTAGGCATGCTGCCTCACACACAGGTGCTGTCTGCTTACAACACCAAGTATTTACTGAGGACCTAAAATCTAAAAAACCCAGACCTCTAGGAAAGACCTACCAACAAAACTGGCAGACAGTCCCAAGGGTGGTTTCTAACAAACAGGACCCCTCCCTTCCTCCAACAATACCTCAGTCTAGGGAAGTCCCAGACCTACTGTTCACACCAGAAAACGACCCCATTTTATAAAAGGATTTCACCTAGAGAGAGTCCATGAAAACGAGACATGAATCAGTTATCAAAGAAAGACCTTCAAAACAAGGCTTTTCTAGCTAACTAGAGCTGATCTGAAAACATGAAGGAAAAAGAATTCTACAGCACCTCCCTGCTTCAGGACCTCTTTTCACCATTTCATTTGAGCAAATAGTGACAGTCTTCACAGCACGGTTAGGCAACCGATGAACGGACAGCCCCTAACCAAGCGCCCCTCCACTGCTGCTCTGTCACTGACTCGCAAAACACCATTCATTGAGCCGCTCTGCCAGCAGCAGTGGTCACCGCAGTTGAGTATCTCAGACTAGTCTGACTCAGGCAACATGAACAAAACCACCGGGAGCCACCAGCCCTCTGTGTTGACAAGGGGAACTTTTAAAACAAACACACAAAAAAACCTTTTCTTTCAAAGGAAGCTAATGAGGGCATTTCTGGCAATGGCTCAGCAGGAGGTTTGGTTACTCAGCAAATCTACTCTACCTCAGCACCAGCTAATCCACAAAGAAATACTGATACACATGGACTGGTTAGTAATGAGCTATACTAGTTTAGAAATAATAAGATGGACAGGTATGTGATTAAAGCAAATGTAATAAAACACAAAACCACTAAAAAGAAAGCGAATGGTCTTTTTTTTTCAATGAAATGCAGCTTCATTACTTTTTTTCATCATACTGAAAACTACATTACCACTTAAAACATGTTTGGAAACCACTATCTACATGTGGAGAGCACATAATGTAAGTGTCTACTTCGCTCCCAAATCCACTCCCGTTACCCTCGCTCAAGCCATCATAACCTCACCTCCGTGGGTACTGAACAGCCCAGCTCGTCTCTGGCCCCCTGGTCTGCGTAAGACAGAGCATGGCCTGGTGGGCCCTGTACAAACACCTGCCTGACTCTCCGACACTACCTCTGTCCCCACCACCATGCAGAGGCCACAAGCATCCGTCTGTCCCATTTTATCATCTCTGTAAACTCATTTCTACCTGAAATTACCATACGTATTTTCTTAACTTGCCAGCTCTCCCCTATTACCAAATGAAAGCCCTTGAGACAGTGACTTGAAACAATGCCAGCCAAGTGTTCACGGCTGAGTAAATGATGAATCACTGACTCCAGGGCTGAAAGTCCCATTTTTAACAACCAATTTCCCCAGAATTGCAGCAGCACCCAAAACACTGAAACCATCAGAGGAAACGGGATGTATATGACAGTCTAGGAGAGTCACTGCTGGAGAGGCAGTCAGCCACAAAGAAGGCACAAAAGACAGCTTCTGACAACAACTGGTCTAATAACTTTTTGCAAAATCACTGAACCACTATAGTTCAGCTTCTCCATCTGTTAATAGAAGGCACAACACAAAGGCAGAGGTGACAGATACGACTTCTGATAACATCTAGAGAAAAATTCTTAGATTTCCTTTTGCAATTGAGGGAAGCAATGTCAACAGAGAAAATATGTAAGTTCACAGATTAAAAGATAACTAAGAAATAAGTTAACATGATGTTAAACTTACTGATCAATGAATTCCACACCAACACCAAAGGCTTCTGCCATATAGCCAAGTGTTAGTGACCTGTATGACTCCAGCAGCTGGCTGTAGGCATGGATTCTCATCTCTCTCACATAGTACCGGTAATGAGGAGCGAAGAGCCAGTCCTTTTTCATTTCCTGTTCCACAACAGCTGCAATGAGTAAGACAACAGATTTTAGGAGAGAAACGGGAAGACATATTTATAACATGGTAATAATTGAAAGCCTTGATCTATAAGGAGTTCTTGTGAGGCAGGAAGAAACAGATAAAGTGAGCAGTAAAATGCATACAGGACAGTAATGAGCAATCCACGTGAGCTACCAGCAACTCCACTGAATCATATTCATCCATCACTGGTCTATAAACTAAAAGCCAGGATCCCTGCTCCACAGAAACTAAATTTCCAAAGGGCAGAGATACAGGAAAAAACAAGATACCTTAGAAAGTAACAAGTCCTGAGAGGAAAATAAAAGTGACATGATAGAGTGACCAGGAGGCCTTACAGTGGACTGGGGCGGCCAGGGAAGACCTCCCTGAGGAGCCGGCCAGCCAGGGGGCAGGAGGCCCCAAACGGGAAGGAAGGGTCCAGCCAAGACCAAGGGCAGGAAGGAGGGCAGATTCGGCCTGTGGCAGGGAGGCAGCCACAGGGATATAGAAGGCAAGTGAGACAAAAGAATTAAAGATGTACTTGTTTCTGAGTTGAACGAGATGGAATTCTTAGAGAAGGAGAGTTTGTTTTTGGAGTGTTTTCTCTGGGGGTGGGGCAGTTCAAGCCCTGTGCTTTGGTGGTATTCTAGAGGCCTCACCTACTAGACATCCAGATGGAAATGTAAAGGGGAGCATGGGTCTGGTAAAAGGGCTGAAGGAGGCACAGCCACCCAGAGGCATTTGATGACAGCATGAAGGGAGAGGTCTGAGGGTAATGACCACGTCTGGGGCCACCCATCAGTGACAGAGCTAACAAAGGATGAGGCAGTAGGTCCACAGAGGACAAGAGGGTGTTATCGTTCAAAAGGACAAAGCTGTGGCAAGAAGAAAGGATGTCACCATCAAAGCAGATAAGGATACGTAAGGGAACACATGTTAGCAACATGGAGATCAATGGTCCTGAACACAAGCTGATGTTCATTCTCACTAGTAAAAGGAGACAGAGCTTGGGAAAAGACAGCAGAGTAGGAAGGCAAGGTGGAGACTTCCTCCCACATACACAACAAGGACACAACTCCAGCAGATCCGGCGAACCCTGAAAGCAAGCTGAAGACGGCAGAACAGACCATCAAGACTTGGTGAAGAACAGAAGACCACACAGAGAAGGATAAAATGGCAGAGCCGTGACTGGGCGAAACCCAAACACTTCCCCCATTGCAGTTCACAAGCAGGAGGGACGGGAACAGAGCTGGGAGGAGATACGTGCTCAGGAACTCTGCACCCCTGTCCCTGGAGATCTGCTCTGGGAACATGAGTCCACATTGCACGGGTTGTAATTAGCGGGGCTGGACACTGGGGACAGCTGGAGCACTCTGGGAGGCTGAGACTCCTGCCACTTGTGCAGGACAGGCACACTCTACCGGCCCCACTGAGAGCCAACTGTCTTAAAGATTTACCAGCAGTGCGAAGTGTGCCAGAGAGGTAAGGGTCAGACGGAGCTCTCTCCAGAGGAGAAGGGGCAAGCGGATGATGCTTCCCTAGCCCTAGCCCTCCCCCTGCTCAACAGGTCGGGCACTCTCAGGAGCCCCAAACGGTCCACCCCCACCATTGATGGGTCAGCCCAAGGCACTGCCCTGTGCATCTGCCCACCAGGCCTGTCGGGCCCAGCAGCAGTCACACTTGGTTGCCTGGCAGGTAGAGGGAGGCTCTCCAGCTTCCCTGGCCCTCTCCCTGCCCATACAGAGAGGTACCTGTGGAAGACAGCTCCAGAGGCTCCCTCCCTCTCGCTGGCAGCTCAGCCCTGTGTTGTGCTCCCCTGAACACCCACCTACAATGATCCCAGCAGAAGTACCACTGCTTGGCTCACAAAGGGCTCACTGAGGCAAGCTGTCAGCCGCTGCTGGCAGACAGGCAAAAAGGGGGGCCCCACCCAGAGCCCACCAACAGCAACTGGGGCTCCACCACAAAGGAGAACCAGGCACTGGAAAGTAAAGAGTCTCGAGCTTCTGGGCACCAGAGGACGCCTTCTTCATAAAGCCATTACTCTCAACCTGGAGGCATAGTGGATCTGAAACAAAGGAAGGAACACAGAAACCCAGGCAAAATGAGGAGTATACTCCAAAGAGAAGAAAAGGACAAGACATCAGAAAGAGGGCTAAATGAAACAGAGGCCACCAATCTTCTTGATTTCAAAGTCAGTGATAAATAAGTTCACTGATCTGGAGAAGACCACTGATGATCTCCCGGAAGGCTTTGACAAAGAGGAGATTTGAAAAAGAGCCACTGGGAGCTGAAGAATACAGTAACTGACATGAAATATACAATGAAGGGGATGAATAATAGGCTGCTGCCAGTAGAGGACAAGCAGTGAGATGGAAATGAGAGAGCAGGAGCACAATGGAACTGAGGAAGAGAGAAAACATAATTTCTAGGAATGAAGGAATGGTAGGAGAGCTGTGTGACCAATCAAAACACAACAATACTTGCATGATAGGGACACCAGAGGGAAAGAGAAACAAAGGAGCAGAGTCTCTGAAGAAATGATGTCTGAAAACCTCCCCAATCTGGGAAAGGAAATAGACACCCAGGTCCTGGAAGCAGAGTTACTCCTAACAAAAGGAACTCCAGGAGGACATCCTCAAGACACAGAGCAATTAAAATGGCAAAGATGAAAGATAAAGGCAGAATTTTAAAAGCAGCAAGAGACAGGCAGTCACCTATAAGGGAAACCCCACAAGACTAGCTATCAGATTTCTCAGCAGAAACTATACAGGCCAGAAGAGAGTGGTATGAAATACTTCATGTATTGAAAAGGAAGAAACTACTACCAAGAGTCCTCTACGCAGCAAAGTTATCATTCAGAAATGGAGTGATTAAAAGTTTCCCAGATAAATGAAAGTTAAAAGAATTCACCACCATTAAACCAGATTACGGGGTATGTTGAGGGGACTTCCGTAGATGGAAATATTCTTAAGCCTAAATAATTGTCATCAGTGAAAATAAACCCACAGTAAAGGTAGTAGACCAATTACTTACCAGGTAAGTACAAAATTAAAACAAAAATAGTCAAACCAACTCTACACAAAATCAGTCAATGGATATACAAAAAGTGCAGATTATGACATCTAATACAGAAAGTGTAGAGAAGGAAGAGGAAGAAAAAAGTACTTTGAGGTTGCATTTGAAATAGAGCCATCTTCAACATCACACAAACTCTTACACAGCCAGGAAGCTATTCTTGAACTTTATGGTAACCACAAACCTAAAGCATATAACAGATACACAAAAAATTTTTCAAAAGAAATCAAATCACAATGCCAAAGAAAACCATCAAATAACAAGAGTGTAAGAGGAAAGGAACAGAGGAACTATAAAAACAACCAGAAAACAAAATGGCAAAAAGCACATATCAATAATCACCTTAACTGTAAATGAACTGAATGCACCAATCAAAAGACGTTGGGTGGCAGAATGGATAAAGAAACAAGACCCATCTATATGCTACCTATAAAAAACTCATTTTAGACCCAAACACATACACAGACTAAAAGCGAAGGGATGGGAAAAGATATTTCATGCAAATAATAGGGAGAAAAAAGCAAGAGTAGCAGTACTTATACCAGAACAAAGAAAGTAACAAGAGACAAAGAAGGATATTACATAACACATAAAGAGGTCAGTCCAACAAAAGGGTGTAACCATCATAAATATCTATGCACCCAACACAGGAGTACCTAAATATGTAAAACAAATACTAACAGAACTAATTGGGGAAATCTATTGCAACACCTTCATTGTGGGAGACTTTAACACACCACTCACATCAACAGACAGATCAACCAGACAGAAAATAAATAGGAAACAGGTACTGAACAATACATTAGATCAGATGGACTTAACAAATAACTACAGAACACTCCACCCAAAAGCAGGAGGATACACATTTTTCTCAAGTGTATATGGAATGTTCTCCAGAATAGATCACATAGTAGGCCACAAAAGAGCCCTAATAAATTAAAAAGACTGAAATTTTACCAAGCAGCTTCTCAAACAACAATGGTATGAAACGAAAAAATAATTTAAATGAAGGAAACAAAAAAGCCCACAAACACATGAAGGCTAAACATACTTCTAAATACTCAATGGGTCAAAAAACAAATTAAAACAGAATTCAAGCCACACATGGAGACAAATGAAAACAAAAATACAAGAGCCCAAAATTTGTGGAATGCTCAAAAGCAGTTCTAAGATGTACATAGCAATACAGGCCTACTACCTCCAGAAACAAGAACAATACCAAATATACAGTCTAAACACACAATGAAAGAAATCAGAAAAAGAAGAGCAAATGAGACACAAAGTTAGTAGGAGGGACATTATAAAGATCAGAGCAGGAAAATAAAATAGAAAAAACCCAACACAACCATGAGCAGCTCTTTGAGAAAATACACAGACTTATCAAGAAAAAAATTAAGTAGACACAAATTCAGAAATACAAAACGAGAAGTTATAACTGACACCACAGAAATACAAAGAATTTTTAGGGGATTCTATGAAAAATTATACACCAATAAATTGGACAACCCAGAAGAAATGGATAAATTCCTGGAAAAGTACAACCTTCCAAGTCTGACCCAGGAAGAAATAGAAAATCTGAACAGACCAGTTACCAGTAATGAAATGGAACTCGTAATCAAAAAACTCCCAACAAACAAAAGTCCAGACAAAATGGTGTCACAGCTGAATTCTACCAAACATTTAAAGAGCTAATACTCATCCTTAAAAGTATTCCAAAAAGCAGACAAAGATGAATACTTCCAAACTCATTCTATGAGGCCAGCATCACTTTAATACCAAAACCAAAGACACTCAAAGAAAAGACTATTATAGACCAATATCCCTGATGAACATAGATGCAAGAGTCCTCGACAAAATGCATTAGCAAACTGAATTCAAAAATACATCAAAAGGATCATCCATCACGACCAAGTGGGATTTATTCCA